GAGAGAGAGAGAGAGAGAAAAAATGACCTCTAATGGCCATATATATATATATATATATATATATATATATCTTTGAACTGAATTTTGAATTTATTGACATTTGTATGCCACCCTCTCCCTTGGGACTCTGGGCAGCTCACAGACAAGACAAAAAAACATATATAAAAATTAAAATAAGAATACAATTATTAAAATTTCACACCATGCATACAGTTAGCGTGAGGCTGGATACCAATCAACAGCCCCATGCCTGCCGGAACAGCCAGCTTTACGGAAGGGATACACCTCTTAAGATGGTAAAAAGACCTGTGCGGACCCCCACCAGAGCCTTAAACTGGCTCTACATGTATTGCTGAATCATCCTCATCGCATCAGCTTACAGCTTACAACCTTACATCAGCTGGCAGCTATTAAATCCTCAGTTCCTGACACTCCTCCCATTTAAAGCTGAACAGCTGATAACCCAAACGGTTTGACACAGTCTTTATACTTTCCCACAGATACGGGTTCTGTTAACGTTATCAGCTGTGTTACACTAGAACAAGGCCACAACTAGCCACTTGCAGGAGATCCCTATTGTGTGAATGCAGCCTCTGGGTCTTTTTGCTGACCCGGGCAAACTTTTTGGAAGAAAGTAGGATCTTAAGGGGGTGGGCAAGATAGGAGTTGGGGGTCCTTTGCCAGTGGGTTGACAGGTGTCCATTGTCGGTGATCTTTTCTGGGAAGTGTTTGGAGAAACCGAGTCGGCGAAAGACCCTTCCTGGGGGAATGTCCCGACCACAGCTGAAGGGTCAGCCAGGAAGCTTTCAGGGACGGTTAAGTGGAGTTGCAGGGCATGTAGTATTGGTCAAGAGGTGGGTAAGGGGATGGCAGAGAGGAAATAATGTGGGCAGCACCCTGCAGGGGTTTGCTTGTCCCAAGAGCTGGCAAACCTTTGGCATCTTCAAAGAGAATCTGGCAAAATCCCTGGAAGGAAATAGCTTTCTGTTCTTGAGAAAGCCTCCACGCTCAAGAGTAGGCTATCTTGCATGCCTTTCAGTACCCTAAAAAGAGTCCTGAGTGCTTGTGCGTTGCACCCACGGGGTCTCGTCACAGCTTCCCACTGTCCCCGGCTGGGAAATGTTCAACTAGGGAGGTTTCTCAGGGCTGCAGGGATGGTGGACCTGCTGGGTTGAAGTTCTTCCTTTTCCCTTGGCGAGAGATTCCTCCTTGACTCTGGGCCTCCTTAAGCTACGGGGCTCCCGGCGTGGAGTTCACGGGGCTGCACAAAGAGACAGCGACTGTCACGCAGATGCACTTCCTACCTGGACAGGTAAAATAAAATATAATGAAGACTTGGGTGTTGCTTGGTGGGTTCATGTGGCTGCCTAGACCAGTGTTTCTCAACCTTGGCAACTTGAAGATGTCTGGACTTCAACTCCCAGAATTCCCCAGCCAGCGGATGCTGGCTGGGGAATTCTGGGACTTGAAGTCCGGACATCTTCAAGTTGCCAAGGTTGAGAAACACTGGTCTAGACTGTGGGCAGCCTCAGGATTGCTATCTCAGCAAGATTACAGATTATATTGAGGAAGTAGCTCTTAACAGCTGCTGTATCACTTTCAGCTTTGGGAGGAGGGAAAAAATCCATTATTCCATACCTTGGATCCCTTAAGCAAGGAAGATTCTTGATATTTACAGTATTTTTGTGACTCTATCACTGTGTTTCTCAACCTTGACTACTTGAAGATGTCCGGACTGGGGAATTCTGGGAGTTGAAGTCCAGACATCTTCAAGTTGCCAAGGTTGAGAAACACAGTGATAGAGTCACAAAAA